TCCGCTAGGTTTTCTTTTGACTTAACAAAATCAATTGATATTGTTCCATTTGAGAGCAACTGCCGAAAGGTGTTATGTCTACGACGTATATGTCTCGACATACCGTTATACACAAAATTTTCAGCCCTGGCTATTGTGGCCTAGTTATCACAATGAATACAAATAGCCGGTACAGGCTTTGGCCATATAGAAATATCTTCTATGAAATGTCTTAACCATTCTGCTTCTTCTCCTGCTTTGTCTAAAACAATAAACTCAGATTCCATAGTAGATCGAGCTATATACGTTTGCTTAGAAGATTTCCATGATATAGCGCCACCACCGAGAGTAAATACATAACCACTGGTAGACTTTGACTTTTCTGTATCTAATATCCAATTGGCATCACTATATCCTTCAATTACTGGAGGATATTTTCCATAATGTAATGAATACTTTCTGGTCCGTTTCAAGTATCCCAAAACTCTAAGTAATGCATCCCAATGTTGATTACTTGGGTTACTTGTGTAACGACTCAGCTTACTTACCGAGTAAGCTATATCAGGTCTTGTACAATTCATCAGGTACATTAAACTACCAATAATTTGGGAATATTCTAACTACTGTTTCCCATTTCCACTATTCTTGTGAAGAACTATATGTGGAAGAAATGGGTTACTCGTCTCTTTAATATTATGAGTCTTAAACCTCTCAATTATTTTATCAACATAATGGGTTTGAGATAAGACTATTCCATTTGATGTTCTAGATATCTTTATTCCTAGAATCACGTCTGCTTCACCCATATCTTTCATGTCAAAGTTATTGGTAAGTATATTCTTTGTTCTATTGATGACTTCTATATTAGTCCCTAATCTAAGCATGTCATCAACATACAAACACACGAGTACGTATGTCTTTTTGAATTTTTTCAAATAGACGCATTTGTCACATCCATTTATGACGAATCCATTCCTAATCATGACGCTGTCAAAATTTTCGTGCCATTGTTTAGGAGCTTGCTTCAAACCGTATAAGGACTTAACTAGTTTGCAAACTTTGTTCTCTTGTCCTTTCACTATGAAACCTTCTAGCTGTTCCATATATATTTCTTCGTTTAAATCACCATTCAGGAATGCAGTCTTAACATCCATTTGATGTATTTGTAAGTTGTACAAGGCTGCAATAGCAATTAAAACCCGAATAGAAGTAATTCTTGTTACTGGAGAATATGTGTCAAAGAAATCAATTTATTCTTTCTGACGATATCCTTTTGCAACCAGTCGAGCCTTGTATTTGTCTATTGAACCATCAGATCTTAACTTTCTTTTAAAGATCCATTTGGATCCTATTGGTTTAGTTCCCTTAGGAAGATCAACCAATTGCCAAGTATTATTACTCATAATAGATTCAATTTCACTATTTATAGCTTCCTTCCAGAATACGGATTTTGGACTAGTCACAACTTCTTTAAATGTTTGGGGCTCTTTCTTAATTACGAAAGAAATAAAGTCTGGACCAAACGGTTTACGACCTTTGCTCTTTTACTCCTTCTTGATTCAGGTTCTATATTGTTTTCAATAGCATTATCTCGTGTTCTCTTTTGAGTATTCTCAAGAATATCTCTTTTATTAGGGAACACATCTTCAAAGAATTCATCATCTCGAGATTCAAAAATTGTATTGACATGAATGTCACTTTTATCAGATTTATGCACAATAAATTTGTACGCACTACTATTTATTGCATATTCGATAAAAATGCAATCAATAGTTTTAGAATCTAACTTAATCTTTTTGGGAGGTGGAATAGCCACTTTAGCTAGGCACCCCCACACTTTTAAGTATTTATAGGAAGGCATTCTACCTTTCCATAACTCATAAGGTACCGAACCAGTTTTTTATTGGGAACTCTATTCAGAATAAAGTTAGCAGTTAGCACTGCTTCCCCTCACAAGTTTTGTGGTAATCTAGAACTTATAAGCATAGCATTAACCATGTCTTTTAGAGTTCTATTTTTCCTCTCAGCAATCCCATTTTGCTGCGGAGTATACGGGGCTGTTATTTGGTGAATAATACCAAACTTAGCACATAATTCATCAAATATGGACGAGTCATATTCATCATCTCTATCGAATCTTAATACCTTAATTGTTTTTCCAAGTTGATTTTCAATTTCGTTTTTGTAAGTAACAAATGCATTCAATGCTTCGTCTTTGCTACTTAATAAATAAACTTGGCAATATCTACTGTGATCATCTATAAACGTGATAAAATATTTTTTACCACCTCGAGTCTGAACAAATTTTAGATCACAAATATCGCTGTGTATTAAACACAACGGTTCACTACTCCTTTCAATTATGTTAAAAGGTTTTTTAGCAAATTTTACTTCAACACAAATTTCACATTTATGTTTGTCTTCGGAGTCAAGTTTAGGTATAAGACCTAAACCTACAAGTTTTCTTAAGGAAGCACGATTTATATGTCCTAATCTGCTATGCCATAAATTCGAAGATTCAAGCAAGTAAACAGAAGCATTAGTTTTATTGATAACTTGTGGATACAAATATGTGAGTTTTTTGTCCACTACAACAGCATTGGCCTTAAATAGACCATCAAGTAAATAACCATTCCCAACATACATGCCCCCCTTAGTAAGTACAAATCTATCGGATTCAAACACCATTTTAAATCCTTTTTTTACTAAGAATAGCTCCTGAAATCAAATTCTTTCTGATACCTGGGACATGTACAACTTTATTAAGCGTTAGTTCCTTCTCCGATGTGAATTTCAGAACAACCTTTCCAATCCCTTCAATATTGGATGTTGTAGAATTTCCCATGTAAAGACACTCATTATGATTCAAGGTCTTATATTCAGCGAATAGACCCTTATCTGCACAGATGTGACGAGTGGCTCTTGTGTCCAACCACCAATCCTTGATATTAGATACCAAATTAACTTCAGAAACAACAGTAGATAGGTTGATGTCTCCAACATCCGTAGAAATTTTATCCACTTCGGTTATATTGGCTTGGGGTGGTTTCTTTTTCTGTGTATCCGTCTTTTTGCTTCGACAGTCTTTAGCCTGATGTCCTGGCTTCCCGCAAATATAACAGTTGCCTTTGAATCGTTTTGTATTGTTGACTTTTTCTTTGTCCATAGATGAGCCAGAACGCTTCATTTTCTTGTTCTTAGACCCCGAGTCTTCTACCATGTTAGCCTTTGCTTCCATGTTGCGGACATTATTCTTCTTTTCTGCAGCCCGGTTGTCTTCTTCAATGCGAAGTCGAACAATTAGATCCTCCATCGTCATCTCTTTGCGTTTATGCTTGAGATAGTTTTTGAAATCTTTCCATAGTGGAGATAGTTTCTCGATCATACCAGCAATTTGGAAAGATTCACTCAAAGTCATACCTTCAGCTTCAATATCGTGAAGTAGAACTTGTATCTCTTGAACCTGACTCATAACTGTCTTTGAATCAGTCATCTTGAAATCTAGAAATTTGCCAACAATGAATTTCTTTGTTCCGGCATCTTCGGTTTTGTATTTTTGTCAAGAGACTCCCACAGTTCTTTAGCCGTCTTGTAATTACAATACACACTATATGAAGTGTTATCCAATCCATTGAGAATGTAATTACGGCATAAGAAATCTGCATGTTTCCATGCTTCAATAGCTAACTGAGTATTTTTATCAGTAGCATTCTCCGATGTTTGTGCAGGACATTCTTCACGCAGAAATTTTACTAAGTTCAATGTTGTCAAATAGAATAGCATCTTCTGTTGCCAACGTTTGAAATCCGTGCCATTGAACTTTTTCGGTTTCTCATGTTGTGAAGCCGGTGGCATGACAAATTGATTGGAACCAGAATTTCGCGCAATCACAGCATTCGTATTGCTCTCAACGGTACCAATCACATCGCTAGTATTATTATCTGATGCACTAGCTATTTTCTGTAAAACCACAATTACAGAAAATAATCAATAATAGAAATGTAGAAGAAATGAGAAAATACAATCTATCTTAAGATTGTTGTCGGAAATTCGACTAACGCAATCAAAAGAACAAATAAAATAAGTAGAAAAATAGAGAACAGTATATGAAGCGAGGTATGCCAAAGCAAATCTCCTTAAAACAGATTTCGCCCCCTAATGAAGTGCAAATGGGATTATGGACGTCTGTCTCCCAAGATACAACGCTCCTTCCAAAGTTGATACTGCACAATATCAACCTTGTCGGTCGAACCAATGAATGATCGTACTCGAATGGAGTAACCACGAAAATATAAGAGAATTTTTAGAGCAGAATATGGAGAGAGAATAATTTAGAAATCAATTGAATTCGTAATTGATTTTGTGTTTTTTAAAAACGAATCTGGGGATCTCTATTTATAGAGATTGAAGTGTCTCATGGAACAGGTGTGTGATATTTCAGGAACTGGTGCACCACTTTGTCTGATTCGTCTTAGCCATTGGATCGTACTATTTTCATGATCTGACGGTCCAGATTGAACCATGAAGTGAAGTGTCCATTCATCATGTCTATTTACCAATTTCTGAACAGTCACAGCCATCCGGGGAACGGCGTGAGTGGTGCGAAGCACCACTCTAGTAGTGACTAGCCTTTGGCTAGCTAAAGTTAGCCAAGTGGTAGGTAACTTATTAAATATATTATGCACACAACCCACTATATAAATAAAACTATTTTCTTGTAAACACTCTAGTAGTGACTAGCCTTTGGCTAGCTAAAGTTAGCCAAGTGGTAGGTAACTTATTAAATATATTATTCACACAACCCACTATATAAATAAGACTATTTTTTTGTAAACTTTCGATGTGAGATTCCTTTTCATATATAAAACACTTAAAATAGGCTTATCAACATATGGACCTATATTGGAGACTTTTTCAATTCACCCAAATTAATTGCAATGACCCACATCATTGAATATTACATTTAATATTTTAACCAATTATATTCAATTTAAATGTTTTAACCCAATTTTATTCAATTAATTCCAACGTCAAATCCTCGCTCTCTCTCTCCATTTCTCCTCTGCACGGCGACTGCGTGTCTCGTCGGGGAGAAAGTCGGCCGATCAGTCCGTTTTCGTCTGACGGTGGGTTGTTCGTTCTCTGAGCTTGCGTCATTATTATTTTTTCTTTATCCCCAGAAGATGCAATCAATTTGTACTTAAAAATTTTATAGCTAGCAGCTAGTGTTGGTGTAGGTTCTAGCGGTGAAGTTCAATTCAAAATGTTGGATAACCCTAGCATGGAATCAGCAGCTACTGCTGCCAATATTGCCACCGTCAGGCGCTACGCTCCTCCCAATCAACGGTACTATCGAATTGTCTAATCTTCTCTCCCTGCGGCCGTGTGTGAAGTTTTCTTTCTTCTTCTATTTCTGTTGATTTGAGAAAAGTATTGAAATAATGGAGTGATTCTTGGGTTGGGTGTTGACCTGATCATTTGTTGCTTGCGTGTAGGAACCGATCACTCGGAAGACGCAAATCTGGAGGAGGTATGATTTATGAGCCCAACTGTCTAAGCAACAATTTGGTTTCAATATTATGCTATATTGGTGTGCCATTGCTGATTGCTGCTCCTTTCTATTTCGAGCGAGTACATGCGTCTGATTTAGGTTATTTCCCTTTTGCTGATGATTTGAACTCAATAATGTTCAAGTCATTTCAACCTTATGCATATAGTAAGTGACATATGAAAAATAAAATAAAAAAATAAACAAAATTCAACTGCAAAGTAGTTGATTGTCCTTTTTCCCTTTTCCCTTTATTTGGATCCTGGAGTTTATATAGGGAGGTATTTCAAATGGACAATAGGAGAAAGGTCACCTATGGATTGTGATCTTACTNGATCTTACTTTTTGTAGTCTTTGACCATTTACATAAAGTATTGAATTAAAGCTCCATTTTATTTGGTGTGAAAATGAGTTTCTATCTCGTCGTTGCCCTTTTTCTTGTAGATTCAAGGTCCAATAAAAGCATAATTATTTAGAAAAACAGAGAAAACAATTAAAATTCAGATGGATGTGTGATCAACATCTCACTTGTTCCTAGCTACTATTTATTATATAAATTTATCAATTGATGCATGCTATATGTGCACCCTTCTCGAAGAATTGGTGCATTGGTCCATGTAGCAGCTTTGGTCCCTCATTGATCTGAACGTTATTCCCTACATCCTATGAACTTTGCGAAGAAAATACTGGATTTTCATTCACATCAGGGCTAAGAAGGAGCTTTAAGCCAAGTTCGGATGATAATGTCATAACCTAGATGATCCTGTTGAAATATATCTTGGTTACTTTTTGGCTAGTCTCATTACTGTTTCAGAGAAATAGATTCATACAAGTACCATGTGGAGATTCAACCCAATCAAGTCCCATTGCATTAAGAGATGTACCTTATCAGCCGTCCTTGAAGCCTTATACTAAATATTTAATAAATTCAATTAATTGAACTGCAAAGATGAAGAAAATTAAGCACAATTTCCTTCGGCTGCAAAAGAAAAACTCAATTGCCTTATATTTTGACAAAGAAATTCTATACTACTGTGTACCAGTGAGATTCATGATTAGCACAGCATGAATCATGTTAAGATTTCTGTAAAGGCTTTCGTAGAGTGTTATAAAGTAAGTTTTTACCTTTCTCCACATGTCTAAGGCTTCAAAACTTTCCAGAGGTTTGCTGGCAAGCGTGATAGAATGCCATTTGTCATGCCTTTAGGAGAGAGCTAAATTAAGTTTTTAGCTTTCTCCACGTCTAAGGCTCCAAATCTTTCCAGAGGTTTGCTGGCAAGCCTCATAGAATGCCATTTGTCATGCCTTTATTGCTTTTTCAACTTGGTATATGTATCATTTAATCCCAGTTTCCTTCCAAGTTACACGCAGGTGCAAACATTTCTCCTTCCCTAGATTCCCTTGATTCTGCACTCAACTATAAGTGATTTGTTTCTCGTACATGATTAGTATTACAAGTAATAACTTTTAAGGCATTTTGATGATATGTCATGAAATATTTTAGCCCCCAATTTTGACTAGAGATATTCTTTTTAATTGATAGCTAGTAATCTTTGATGCATCGTCATGTCTAACCTATGTTGCATAGACACTTCAACAAGTGTAGTACGGACATGTGTTGGATATTGACACTCCTCGGAGACTCTATCATGATCATTTTTCTTTCTTTATCAAAAACATTAAATATTTATAATCCAAAGTTATTAAACAAATTAAAATCAAGATTTTAATTTAAGTCAAAGTGAGCAATTAATTTTAACCACACGTTTTATGGGACCCAGAACTTTTCAACCACACATTTCATCGACTTTTATAAAAGTCTACTAAAAATTCGATTTTAATTCCCACCAAACTGGACCTATAAATGAAGAATTTGAGTGAATTTAATCAACTTGTCAGTGACGTATCATTTCAATGGGTTTTTTAAAAATTGAGTCGGAGTATCCAACAAGTGTCGTATTGGACAAATGTGTCCGCGTCTGTGCATCATAGTGTCTAATAGATGCTGCCAAGTGTTCTGAATTTTGATAGTTACCTTATTTTTTCTAATACAAATTTTTGACAATGGTTAGTGTAAACTAATTCCCAATAAACGTTATCTGATTTCTTAGATCTCATTTTTTTCATAAAAATGTTATTAGATTGCTAGCATAAATTAATAACCCTATAAAGTTTTATCAATCATTTTGAGAGGCAACCTAGAGCAACTTTAAGAGATTACTTCTCACCGCTTTATATCAATTCTGGCTGGAATTTCCTTCTCTGCCATTTACTGTGATGTACTTCTCAACTCTTGTATAGTGAACTTATTCAAAGTAAAATGTTTGATACTTTTGTTATGTAGCGAGAGGTTCATTTAAGATAGTCATGTCTAGGAGTTTTCCTTTGGAAAGGGAATGTATTGAGTGATTTATTCTCTTTTGAGACAGCCAAGCAGAATAAGGGAAAACCTATAAGTACCATGTGGATATAAGAAAAGAAAAGGATATAACTTAAATGATCATAATTGAAACCAGTTTAATGTGGAAGACAATAACATTCATGGCTAGTAAACTGCACATATTGGACAGACCATTTTAGAAGGAATCTAAAATAATTCAGTAATCATCTTTCCATCACTGATGTTTTTACATCTCAAAAATTGGACTGTTATTGAGAGAACCAGAGATACAGAGAACTTGTCCATATGCAATGCAATGGAATAACATAAATTGATGGAAAAGGTGAGTCGTTTAAATTCAACAGGGGAATCATCTCATGAGCTCAATGGATGGAAGTGATGTACAGTATTCATATAATAAAATATATAATTTTGTATATGTCACATAAATGATGAGTGGTGTTTTGTGTATGGCATGCATGAGAAGAATTGGTGCATTGGTCCATGTAGCAGCTTTGGTCCCTCATTGATCTGAACGTTATTCCCTACATCCTATGAACTTTGCGAAGAAAATACTGGATTTTCATTCACATCAGGGCTAAGAAGGAGCTTTAAGCCAAGTTCGGATGATAATGTCATAACCTAGATGATCCTGTTGAAATATATCTTGGTTACTTTTTGGCTAGTCTCATTACTGTTTCAGAGAAATAGATTCATACAAGTACCATGTGGAGATTCAACCCAATCAAGTCCCATTGCATTAAGAGATGTACCTTATCAGCCGTCCTTGAAGCCTTATACTAAATATTTAATAAATTCAATTAATTGAACTGCAAAGATGAAGAAAATTAAGCACAATTTCCTTCGGCTGCAAAAGAAAAACTCAATTGCCTTATATTTTGACAAAGAAATTCTATACTACTGTGTACCAGTGAGATTCATGATTAGCACAGCATGAATCATGTTAAGATTTCTGTAAAGGCTTTCGTAGAGTGTTATAAAGTAAGTTTTTACCTTTCTCCACATGTCTAAGGCTTCAAAACTTTCCAGAGGTTTGCTGGCAAGCGTGATAGAATGCCATTTGTCATGCCTTTAGGAGAGAGCTAAATTAAGTTTTTACCTTTCTCCACGTCTAAGGCTTCAAATCTTTCCAGAGGTTTGCTGGCAAGCCTCATAGAATGCCATTTGTCATGCCTTTATTGCTTTTTCAACTTGGTATATGTATCATTTAATCCCAGTTTCCTTCCAAGTTACACGCAGGTGCAAACATTTCTCCTTCCCTAGATTCCCTTGATTCTGCACTCAACTATAAGTGATTTGTTTCTCGTACATGATTAGTATTACAAGTAATAACTTTTAAGGCATTTTGATGATATGCCATGAAATATTTTAGCCCCCAATTTTGACTAGAGATATTCTTTTTAATTGATAGCTAGTAATCTTTGATGCATCGTCATGTCTAACCTATGTTGCATAGACACTTCAACAAGTGTAGTACGGACATGTGTTGGATATTGACACTCCTCGGAGACTCTATCATGATCATTTTTCTTTCTTTATCAAAAACATTAAATATTTATAATCCAAAGTTATTAAACAAATTAAAATCAAGATTTTAATTTAAGTCAAAGTGAGCAATTAATTTTAACCACACGTTTTATGGGACCCAGAACTTTTCAACCACACATTTCATCGACTTTTATAAAAGTCTACTAAAAATTCGATTTTAATTCCCACCAAACTGGACCTATAAATGAAGAATTTGAGTGAATTTAATCAACTTGTCAGTGACGTATCATTTCAGTAGGTTTTTTAAAAATTGAGTCGGAGTATCCAACAAGTGTCGTATTGGACAAATGTGTCCGCGTCTGTGCATCATAGTGTCTAATAGATGCTGCCAAGTGTTCTGAATTTTGATAGTTACCTTATTTTTTCTAATACAAATTTTTGACAATGGTTAGTGTAAACTAATTCCCAATAAACGTTATCTGATTTCTTAGATCTCATTTTTTTCATAAAAATGTTATTAGATTGCTAGCATAAATTAATAACCCTATAAAGTTTTATCAATCATTTTGAGAGGCAACCTAGGGCAACTTTAAGAGATTACTTCTCACCGCTTTATATCAATTCTGGCTGGAATTTCCTTCTCTGCCATTTACTGTGATGTACTTCTCAACTCTTGTATAGTGAACTTATTCAAAGTAAAATGTTTGATACTTTTGTTATGTAGCGAGAGGTTCATTTAAGATAGTCATGTCTAGGAGTTTTCCTTTGGAAAGGGAATGTATTGAGTGATTTATTCTCTTTTGAGACAGCCAAGCAGAATAAGGGAAAACCTATAAGTACCATGTGGATATAAGAAAAGAAAAGGATATAACTTAAATGATCATAATTGAAACCAGTTTAATGTGGAAGACAATAACATTCATGGCTAGTAAACTGCACATATTGGACAGACCATTTTAGAAGGAATCTAAAATAATTCAGTAATCATCTTTCCATCACTGATGTTTTTACATCTCAAAAATTGGACCATTATTGAGAGAACCAGAGATACAGAGAACTTGTCCATATGCAATGCAATGGAATAACATAAATTGATGGAAAAGGTGTGTCGTTTAAATTCAACAGGGGAATCATCTCATGAGCTAAATGGATGGAAGTGATGTACAGTATTCATATAATAAAATATATAATTTTGTATATGTCACATAAATGATGAGTGGTGTTTTGTGTATGGCATGCATGATGTGTGAGAAACAGGATTATCTGCTGCCTTCCAATATCGAGCATATTTTTGATGAACTGTTGCAACAAGTTTATATATTCAAATACTTCTGCTTGAATCACATGGACCACCTATATTTACCGTGATTGTTGTATTTATGATAAGTTGATTTTGCAGAAAGACTGGAACGTGCAAACAGTTACTCAAATGATGGAGAGAAGAACGCAATAGGCACCGTTAGAAGTATTCCCATGACAGATCATGGAGATGCTGGTGGAAACAATCGCACAAATGGGAATCCTCGTTTTAAGTCAATACCTTTACATGGGTGTTGCAATAGTGAAGCTCTTCAGCTTTTGAATGACCGTATGTTTTGCTTTCTAGCTTCTTGGATTATGTTGTATCTTTAATCATTTACCCTTGTTATGCACCTTAATTCTGATATGTACCAAAACAACCCCCTAAACTACACACGACATGACCTTCCTCACCAGGCAGGAAACCAGCCTTTGGCTTGCTCAATAATGGAGAGTTTTTCACATCATGAGCTTGATATGAAATAACTTTGAGAATATGCAAGAGCTACACCTAATTAAATAATTTTGTTAATGGACTAGTTTCGCATTTTTTCTGCTGCTTATTGAAGCTATGTTTCATCTCTATATCTTTGAGTCTAGCAGAAAAAAATTAGATCGTAAGGTTATATAGATTATTAGCTCTTTAGAATCAATGAAATTGCTGCAGTAATTACTTCAGGGAAACATGTTTGGCTGTTTTGCCTCGAGACAAAGTAAAACGTTTTCGAGTATTCTTGCGTTCCGGAGTCATTGTCATTACTGTTCCAGTAAAAGCTTCTTGCTGGCATTGATGACTAGAAGTACTAAACACGTGCACTGTTGATGCTTTCTCGCTTTTGGAATTTATTCAGGATGTCTAATGAATTGCTTGGTATATAAAAAAGATTGCTTATCTATTTTGTAATGCAGGTTGGACAGCTGCCATGAGTGCATTCAATAATTTGCCAGAAGATTCTACTGGTATCCAACCGTTAAGCTACTTTAACTCTTGGCTGCCTTTTCTTTTCGCTTTTAGTTTAATTATAATTCTTATAAGGATTGATTACAGACGCTTGTAAGCAAACAACCAGCAGTCAGCAATGTGTGAGGGTTGAGAAGAATTAAGGAGAAAAGGAAAGAGAAGGGTTTAAGCTAGTCCTATTTAAGTAGGAAACTACTAAAAACAATACAAAATACTAGAATCTTTTAAAAATAAATCTAATTGTTTTTCCTAATATATGTATACAAACTTGGAAAATCTTCAATATTATATTGTTATAGAATTCCATCAGATGGGGAAATTTTCTAATTCAGTTCTCTCGTGAACATTCACATTGGGAACTTTTCTAACTCTATGCTAAGTTCCATATGGTTCTAATCCAATGCACTTAACACAACCTAATGGTAAGCTTAATTATGGAAGAAAATATAAGTTCCCTCAAGGAACTTTCAGATTAAAAATTTGCATTTCCATGGAACTACTCGAAGATAGTTAATTACAATAAAATTGAAGAGCAAAACTTTGGAAGTTAGTTTGTAAACTTAGGGCAATTATATTCAAACCCCGGTTTTTTATAAATGCACCACATTTGAATTGTATTAAAGGTCTCTAATCTTTACTTATTGTCACACTTATGTCCTCGACTGTTTTCATTGTATTCTTATCCTCAAAGTTCCATTAATTAGCTTGTCTTGTCTTTGATGACAATGTATGTCCAAAAACATGTTAGGCATTATAAGATCAAATACAAAAATTAGGCAAAATATTTGCCCCTCGTGACAAAATATCTGTACTGAAAATGTTATCAAAGACATAACGTGATAGTTCATTGAAGGTTAAGGATTAGAAAGAAAAGGACACAAGTTTACATAAGTACGAAAATGAGCAAAAAATGGGAAGATTTCACTCCAATTACAACTTTGTGCTAAAAAAAAATGTGGTGTGAATATAATCACCCATAAACTTATCAAGCAAAATTTGAAACAAGATGTATGTATTAAATTAAATCTTTAACTTGAAGGCAACGTACTGAATGATAAAGAAAATGATGCCTGTTAAATATTATCTATTTATTTTCCATTTCATCAATCTCTCTCAAAACGTTCTTTTGATTAGGTCATCTGTTATGACCTTAATACATTCTTGTGGAAATTTTGACATGCACTATGTTTGCAACAGGTTCAAGTTTATTAATATACTTGTTCAATAGCCTGAAACCTGATTATAATTTTTAAACTTGGTTGGTAATCTGTGGTGTTGATATTCGGTGGCTAAGAATCAAAGTTTATTGTAACATATAATTTAAGATTTTCTCGCAGTGAGATATAGAGCCATTTCTAATTTTTCCTTGAAAATTTTGACAATTTCTAATGTATTCTTGTTATGTTTACCAGACAGGCCTGTCTTTTATTCAAGAAAAAGTGCATCAGCCTGGAATCAAACTGTTCTTCCACATTTGGTATGATGGATGATTTATCCCCTCACTCAGTCTCTTCTGCCTTACCCGCTCCCCACCCCCCGTCCCTGTCCTTGTCCCCGTCCCACCCTATCTCTATTTCAAAGGAAAACCAAGAAGGGAAAGATAAATTAAAATAACCCCTATCTTTCTTATATATGATTTGGTTTTTGACATCTTGCCTACAGCTAATGCAACAAGCAGATGGGCCTTCTACTGGTTTGCAGGGGGACTTCTTGAGTGAACTCCAGCAGGCAATGCACAATGCAAATACTGGTCTTACCGCGTAACTTGGACATGGTTGAAATGCAATGAACTCATTTGGATGTCAGAATATTTTGAGGTGGGCCTAGATACTTTATTGTATGCTCATCAAATCAGCTTTGTCTTGCTTGCTACTTATTTGATGTGTATCTTTCTAGCTCAGAAGTGTCTGCAATATTACCGCTTCCATGTGGGTGTGTTAATGTGTTGATTATTAGAGTGCTGTCCTAATGTAGTGAATCTGTTAAATTATGGAATTTTATGACTGCTATTATTATTAAAAAAAAAAAAGAAAAAAAAAAAGAACTTGTTAGTTATAATTCATTCTGTTATAATTCTAGCCACTCTACAAGGAAGCGATCAGCAATGCCTTGTATTTTATATGGAGTTCAAGTTTTGATACTAGAGTTAGTTAAATCCAGAAACAATTCTTTTAAGTTTTGATACTAGAGTTAGTTAAGTCCAGAAACAATTCTTGAGGAAATAGTTCTTAATTGGTTTCTGGGAAGAATGTGCTTATTTGTTCATAGCATGTTAAGTTTTGTTCATCATCTTTTGCTCATGGAACCGCTTTTAGAGTTGTCATTCTCTTCAATCTAGTTGACATCCATTTTCCTTCTCATTCGAACATTCTCTATTTTATCCATTTTGTATTACCAGACATCTATCTTGATATCTTTATTTCCACCTCGATATTTTATCATTTCAATGCTCATTATAATAATATATTATTCGTAGAAATCATTTTCCTTCTATAAAAAGTTGGTTCAATATAATACCATCTTACCTCATGCTTCGTAATGCAATCTAGAACAAGTTACATGCAAGAGAGAGCAACTATATACGATTTGAGAAGTATTGTATCATCTGTTGTCAAGAAATCCTTTGGAAACAATACAATCTAAGCTCAAACGAAGATTAGAATTCAAAACCCTCTAAATTTGCTTCGTTTTTGCACCTCCTATCAAGTTCTGCAAATGCCTCTTCTGCATATTTTTGGCTTATAATATAAATGTGAAGCTGTAACCTTGCCAATATGGAAGTCATTGTAGGGTTAGTTGTTAGTGGAAGGAATTTTTGTGAATGAAATGTAATATCCCAGGATTTTTATATGATTTTTAGGAATTTTCTGAAAAAAATTAGGACTTTTTAATAATTGTTAGGCTAAAAGTATGTTCTATATTTTCCAAGAACTAAAGACCAATATTTTAAAATTTGACCCGAGCATCGACTCGAAAAAGACAAAGGGTCGATGTTTAATGGGTTGAATTGGTATCAAACCGGATGACAAATTAAATAAATAAATGCATAAATACAAATAAATTATAAAATATCATAACTATAATAGATTTTTTAATTTTAGTTTTCTCATTCAAAGTAAATATAATATATGTTGGTTAATTAGATTTATTATAGTAATATATTTTATAACCTCAAAAACTGACAATTAATATGTCCAAAATATTGTTTTGTTCAAATTGAAATTGTTTGTGATTATAATTTTGTTGGAGTTATGATTTGTTAATGAAAATAATGAAGTAAATTAGTAAATACTTAGAATTGGTAATTGGCTAGTATTCCATATTGGAATATTACTACAACATTGAAAGAAGAGTTTCCTTTAAAAATAAACTAATATCCCACATTGAAAGATTATTAAAATATTGAAAGAAGAGTCTCATTTAAAAAGGAGTTAAAGGATAATTACTTATATAAAAAAGTTATTTGGGCTTTCTATTGCAATGGGTGGCCCATCAAAGATAGTTAAAAAAAATTTTGAAAAAAATTATAATCCTCGAAAAAAGAAAAAGAAACAGACTTTATTCGCTTCTGGTATATGTGCCACTCTGAAATACTATTAGACATGGAACACGAAGTTCTCTACTTCACGTTCACCATAGCTGATTTTTCGGTCACGGTTAAATTGGCAGGGTTGATGGTTTGTTAGCCGGTTTGTTATTTTTCGGTTAATGTAGGCCGGATCACCATTTTTTCGGTTGATCGGTTGGGTTGATTCGATTTTTATAATATTAATTTAGATTCTTGGGATCGACTTCTCCTTTTTATTTTGATTAAAGGGTTTAATAAGGGTGAACACGGCTCGATTTGGACGATTTGTGCTATATTTTCAATTCAAATCATTTGGTGGTTTGAAAATTTTCTAAATCAAATTAAACCATTTTATTTTTTAAACCAAACCAAATTAAATCATAATTTGCTGTTTGGTTCGATTTTAATATGCAGTTTACTTATCGACATTGTAGTAATATATTTAAAATAAGTTAGTATATAAGTTTAAATAAGAACTAATAATGTTAAATGTTATATTACATTCATATTTACTATGAAACCCATGAATAAATTATTATCACAGTTTGTTACTACATGATGTTAATAGAACAAATACATATTTCTTCATTTTTATTTACATTTTTTTATTTGACTTTCATATTATCACATAGGGATTGGTAAAGATAGAGTTACATTCTAATATTATAATTTGGTTAAAACTACTTTCGGCTTGTTAGTGAGATGTTAAACAAGAATTGAATAAGATTAGTTTAGATGTACAAAGATTGATAAAGTTTAGGCCTATTGGAGATTAACAAATTTCATTCTCTAACTATTTTATAAAAGTAGAAGGTAGTAATACTAGTTATGAAATTTTATAATACTAGTTATGAAAATTTTAACAATTTCACACAATCAACACACTGTCATACGTTCTTTCCAAAACACAAACAAGTTCATTAATAGTCTAGACACACAAACAATTATTTTTCTATTCAAATTACAACTCACAAGTGTATAATAAGTTGAAAAACTACAAATAAAAGAAATAACAATAGAAAAATGGTTTGAATAAGAATCTGATACTTATCTAGAGAGAAGAGAGAAATAGGCGATTCAAGTAGAAATTAGTGGACTAATAAGCAAAATGCGACTGACGATTCGTTTAGCAGTGGCAGAAAAGCGTCAAATGTTTGGGAAACGATAGTTTATGTTAGGGCTTCTGAAGCTTTGAATGTGATTTGCTGTCGTAGTTTTGTTAAATTATGATTTGGATTGTCGAATATATCAGGTAAGGACATGTGTTGTGAACTTGTTAAATCATGAGCCAATAATGATGAACCTAATTTACTTTCTATCCGTAAAATTTATAAATTAATGTTTAATTAAAAAATTCAAAAACGGTTCGGTTCGATTTTGTGCGATTTTTGAAAATCGAAACCTGAATAAAAACCACGGGTTCACGTGGACCAGAACCAACGATTACGGTTGGGTTTGTAGTTTTGCGATTTTTTTTGTGCAGCCCTAGGGTTGAACCATCTTTATAAATAGGTCAAACTCCCTTCTATTTTTTTATATCAGGTTGAACCCCTATATAAAATGGGTTGACCCTATTTAATTGAAGGGATCGATTCCTCCTTATTTGTGGGCAGTTGCGAATTCTAAAGCCTAAAGCTCTCTAAATATTAGGGATGGCCTTGCACTCAACTTCCTACTAGACGAATACATCATTTGCACTCACAAAGCAACTGCATTGTACTCTACAATTGGGCACCAACACAAAGCACTGAACTAACATGACAATGGCAATAGACAGGTGAATTTGATATGTCTCTGCCACTGCTTCTTCGAAACTAATTAATAGGTGTAGCTCTCCTAAATGCATTCCAGTAACCTCTAATGCAAACATTTTTGGAAGCATAATTCAATGTTGTTATGTCACTTTCAATATAGAGCATGAACATTCGCCTTTCTTCGTGGCACCATCCTTCAGTTCATCAGTATTTTTGTCTGGAAGAGAAGGATGCACAACGACATGCATAGTGATGACATCTCCAGGAACTTCAGCGAGTGGCAATCATGATTCTCACAACAACCAAATACAATCTTACAACGATAGATAATCTTGGTTTCTTGTAATTATTGTCAATTTTATTATCTCGCAAGTGTATGGATCGTGATAAATAATGAAGTGGGCATGAATTCAATTATTGATCCCACGAGGAATTAGTATCTGGCATAGTTTTCAATTATCTCTATATATAATCGAATATAAAAGTACAATAGATAGATGAAGAGGCGATGCTATTAAGAACCTAAATTTATAATTAATTTAACTAAATATAAAATATCTAACCAAACTTAAGTGGTAGACTGGTAGGAAGTGTTTATGATGACTAGGTTAGTTAATAAATCACTAGGACCTCATATCCCCCTAAATTTATACATATTAAGATTAATTTTACAGCTTGACAATATTTATTTGATATAAAGATCAATATTCCTATAGCGTTCAATAGACCCTCTCAAGATCAATGGAACTATCCTCACAGATAAAATTCGAAAAGATTTCTAACCTGAATTCGAACATGCAAATATACATTAAAAATCCAAGAAAATCGATTAGTTCATGCAAAATATAAACAAGAATTAATAATAGAGAGCTACTCTAATAATGTTTTCATGTGCGATATACTCCTTATCTATTGAAAATTGCGGAAACCCCCCGTTTGAAATGTTTTGTGCGAAAACCCTATTGCTGTCAAAGATTCGTCAGATTTACCATTAAAAATAGTAAAAAATGCCAAAGTTAAAAAGGAATAATTGCAATTTCATTACCCAAAATTTTTAATTTTTTACAAATTAAATCCAAATTTTTTTATATGTGCTATGTGTAGCAGAAGATTTGACACCAATAGTTGCTCTGGAATTAGTTTCAAAACCTCCAATCGACTACCTCAACAAACAACCGACCTAAGAAGCCTCCAACCAATTCTTGTCTTCGGTTGCTATGGTTTACCTACCAAGGACACACACGAGTGGATGTAATCATAGCCACAAAGGCAGCCATGAAGGCAGAGGAGAAAGGAGAAAGCGAGAGGTGCAAATCACAAAGAAAGGCAGTTAGTTTCTTAAAGGAAGAAGGAGCTCGAAAATACATGATAAAACCAAGCAAAATATAAGGATCATTAGGTTACAGTAGTGAGCCAATCCTAATATAGGTAAACAAGTGGGCTAGGTATAACCAAGTGGGCCAACGCTTATTAGCCGTCCAAGAAAAAAGGAAATGGACTATGAGCAGCACCAACTAAATTATGCTGTTTCCAATGGTCCACATGGTTTTAGGGTCGAGTTATCTTCATTAAGGTGTCAATTTTTTGTTCAGCCATTTGGTTGATGTTGGCCGAGAAAATTATACGAAATACATCATCGTTCGGAAGGTCGTTTGACAACAACTTTCCCAACAAACCTCTACTTTGGTGTCAAAAGACCTGTAATAAAACATTATCACA